TATTCGCCCGTCACGTAGTAATTAGTACATAATTCTGTTAAATGCACGCGTGATCTAGATAACAATATTTATAATTTATGAATGAATAAAAACCCAATACCTCGTTTTATTATTTCTAAGTGAAGTTACGAAAAGACATGATCTATTCATGTATATTATGTAATACACCTATTATTAAGTATATACTCACAAGATATATTTGTGACAACCTTACAACAGACCGTATTCCACGTATACAATCAATGCGCACTCAAAACATACTCTTTGTAGAACAAGAGCAAAAATATCCCTAAAGAAACCATGCGCGCTCGTTTTGCGGACTAGGGTGGGTGCCCAAAGAGTTATTGATCGAATTTTTGGGCTCCGTGGATAGCTTGCCAAACACTTAATAACGATAAGCGATTTTGAATCGATTATAATCAGTTTGGTAGAGGGAATCATAAAAAACATTTAAACAATATTAAACATTAAGAAAACATTTAAATAATATACAACTGACGAGTGGTGAGATAACGGCACCCTCTCCCCCTAACACCCGATATAGTTACTAACTTACTAGGTCAGTTATGCGTTCACATGTGTTTCACGACTGTATTTAACCTATGTTTTAATTTTTAATTAAATAACTCCATTACGTCGAGAAAGGGTTTCACGCAGACGAACTGACTAATGAGAATGCCGCTGTCGCATGCATCTTGCTTGTGTTAGCAATGTGTAGATAGAGACCAACGTGATCCATGGAGCAGCACAGGGATACTAAAATAGAATTTACCTGTCCGCTGAGCGAGATAATCACGCCCCTTCTAAGATATTGCTCTACGTCGGTCAAGCTCATCTACAGTATTTTGTATGTGTATTTCACGTGTGTACGCCAAATTTGTGGCGCTTCGTTCTCAAGCAAATAGAATACTATATCGCAAAAATGTTTGGCTAAAGCTGCTACTGCATTAAACTCCAGATGAATTGATTTTAATATGATCGTACGCATTTCTTCTTGAATCCAGCCCCAGGTGGCTAAAGAAGTAAGGAAGTAAGGGGTAAGTCGATTGAAATTATTATTTTCAATGGTTATAGTCAGGGTTGGTTAATGCGCAAGCACGCGCGCACGTACGTAAGCAAGCACGCACGCACGTACGTAAGCAAGCACAGCGCCGCACGTACGTACTAGCAAGCACCGCGCGCACGTACGTAAGCAAGCACGCACGCCACGTACGCTAAAGCAAGCACGCACTGGTACGTAAGCAAGCACAGCGCGTACGCTACTAAGCAAGCACGCTGCGCACGTACGTACGTAAGCAAGCACGGCGCGCACGTACGTACGTAAGCAAGCACGCGCGCACGTACGTAAGCAAGCACGCACGCACGTACGTATAAGCAAGCCCGCCACGCACATACGTAAGCAAAGCACGCGTGCACGTACGTAAGCAAGCACGCGCGCACGTACGTAAGCAAGCACGCACGCACGTATACGTAAGCAAGCACGACGCACAGTACGTAAGCAAGCACGCACGCAAGTACGTAAGCAAGCACGCACGCAAGTACGTAAGCAAACACGCGCGCACGTAAGCAAGCACGCGCGCCACGTACGTAAGCAAGCACCGCACGCACGTACGAAAGCGAACACACGCGCGCACGTACTAAGTACAGCGCACGCCACGCAGCTACGCACCGTACGTAAGCAAGCACGCGCGCACGCTAGCAAGCACTCAGCGGCACGTACGTAAGCAAGCATGCACGCACGTGACGTAAGCAAGCAAGCCACGCACAGTACGTTAAGCAGCACGCACGCACGTACGTTACGTAAGCAAAGCAGCGCACACACGAACGTCAAGCAAGCACACCGCGCGCCGACGTAAAGCAAGCACCTCACGAGTACGTTATGCACGCGCCGCGCGCACGTAACGTAAGGCAAGCACAAGCCACGCATTGTACGTAAGCAAGCACGCACGCACGTACGTAAGCAAACACGCAGCGCACGCACAGAAGCAAACACGCGTGCGCCAACGTACGATAGCAAGGCACGCATGCCACGTAATCAAGCACGCACGCACCGCACGCACGCAAACTGTAAGCAGCCACGCACGCCAAGATACGTAAGCAACGCACGCATGCCACGTAATCAAGCACGGCACGCACGCAGCGCACGCCACGTTAAGAAAGCACGGCCACGCACGTACGTAAGCAAGCACGCTACGCAAGTACGTAAGCAGCACGCAGCAAGTACGTAAGACAAAGCAAGCACGCGCGCACGTACGTAAGCAAACACGCGCGCACGTACGTAAGCAAGCACGCACGCACGTACGTAAGCAAGCACGCACGCACGTAAGCAAGCACGCGCGCACGTACGTAAGCAAGCACGCACGCACGTACGTACGTAAGCAAGCACGCACGCACGTACGTAAGCAAGCACGCGCGCACGTACGTAAGCAAGCACGTACACACGTACGTAAGCAAGCACGCGCGCACGCACGTACGCAAGCAATCACGCAAGTACGTAAGCAAGCAAGCACGCAAGTACGTAAGCAAGCACGCACGCACGTACGTACGTAAGCAAGCACGCACACACGAACGTAAGCAAGCACGCGCGCACGTACGTAAGCAAGCACGCGCGCACGTACGTAAGCAAGCACGCACGCACGTACGTAAGCAAGCACGCACGCACGTACGTAAGCAAACACGCGCGCACGCACGTAAGCAAACACGCGCGCACGTACGTGGGCAAGCACGCATGCGCGTAAACAAGCACGCACGCACGCACACACGTAAACAAGCACGCGCGTACGTAAGCAAGCACGCACGCACGTACGTAAGCAAGCACGCGCGCACGCACGTAAGCAAGCACGCACGCACGCACGTAAGCAAACACGCGCGCACGTACGTAAGCAAGCACGCATGCACGTAAGCAAGCACGCCCGCACGTACGCACGCACGCACGTAAGCAAGCACGCGCGTACGTAAGCAAGCACGCACGCACGTACGTAAGCAAGCACGCGCGCACGCACGTAAGCAAGCACGCACGCACGTACGTAAGCAAGCACGCACGCACGTACGTAAGCAAGCACGCACGCACGTACGTAAGCAAGCACGCACGCACGTAAGCAAGCACGCACGCACGTACGTAAGCAAGCACGCGCGCACGTACGTAAGCAAGCACGCGCGCACGTACGTAAGCAAGCACGCGCGCACGTACGTAAGCAAGCACGCGCGCACGCACGTAAGCAAGCACGCACGCACGCACGTACGTAAGCACGCACACACGTACGTACGTAAGCAAGCACGCACGCACGTACGTAAGCAAGCACGCGCGCACGTACGTAAACAAGTACGCGTGCACGTACGTAAGCAAGCACGCACGCACGTACGTAAGTAAGGGCGCGCGCACGTACGTAAGCAAGCACGCACGCGGGCACGTAAGCAAGCACGCACGCACGTACGTACGTAAGCAAGCATGCGCGCACGTACGTAAGCAAGCATGCACGCACGTACGTAAGCAAGCACGCGTGCACGCACGTACAGACGTAAGCAAACACGCACGCACGCACGTACGTACGTAAGCAAACACGCACGCACGCACGTACGTACGTAAGCAAACACGCACGCACGCACGTACGTACGTAAGCAAACACGCACGCACGCACGTGCGTACGTAAGCACGCACGCAAGTACGTAAGCAAATACGCACGCACGCACGTACGTGCGTAAGCAAACACGCACGCACGCACGCACGCACGTACGTACGTACGTAAGTACGCACGCACGTACGTAATAAAACACGCACGCACGCACGCACGTACGTACGTAAGCAACCACGAACGCACGTACGTAAGCAGGCACGCATACATACGTAAGCAAGCACGCGCGCACGTACGTAACACGCGCGCACATACGTAAGCAAGCACGCGTACGTACGTAAGCAAGCACGCACGCACGTACGTATGCACGCACGCACGCACGTACGTAAGCAAACACGCACGCACGCACGTACGAACGTAAGCAAACACGCACGCACGCACGTACGTACGTAAGCAAACACGCACGCACGCACGTACGTACGTAACCAAACACGCAAGCACGCACGTACGTACGTAAGCAAGCACGAACGCACGTAATACCCCTGTCACACCTACCCGCGATCACGCTCGCGCTCCCACTGCGACCTGGAAAGTATGAAAGCGCGATGAAAAGCGCAGTAAGGTCTATGAGAACGAGTTGGTGACGCAGTGGAACCTGTCAAGGACGGAAGTGGGTCGCCATGAGCTACCTTGAGCGCCCAACCTTGGCTCTTGTGTTGTTTCGAATCAATACAAACGGTGTAATGACGCAGTACAGTTGCCGTGTCGAACTACATGAGAGTATCGTGGACGTAGCAACAACGCATAGAAGCGACTTGGGGTCGCAGAAATCGTCCCCTGTGACTGGTTTGCGACTGTTGTACGCTGATCGGGCTCTCCATACGTGCCTCTCCCGTTCGTGTTGCGCCGTTACTGCGCTTCCACTACGCTTTATGGGCTTGTTTCTGCTCATTCTACGTCCACATTGCGCTGCCACTGAGACTATGACGCTCGTAATACGTCCAAGGCGTTGTTCCCACGTTTGCAATAGGCTCACGGTGCGTTCTTATTACAATCCCACTGACCCCCTCCGCCCCCCCTCGAGCAGCACATACGCACATGTTTGTATAAATACAAGCTTTATCCTTCTATACACAATCAGTGTGCATCTGCTCTTTACCATGGCCGCAGACAGGCAGAATGTGCTAATTGATACTATAGTTAGCACATAATGCAAGGCACAAAGATGACCAGGCATTTGGTCAACGATCATGAGAAGCAAAGAGAGAAAGGAGGAGAGTAAAGTAAGGAAGAGGAGATGCTGGGTTCAACCATGGGGTTAGACGTGGGGAGAGGAGGTTCAGTTTCCAGCTATCAACTGCCTAATGGCGAGCTACGATCACGAAATATCTGCATACTGCTTTTAACTTCCTGAGAGTACAACCAAAGATGTTTGATGAGCTCCTAGCAAGACTTGGTCCAAGATGCACCAAACAAGACACCATGTATAGGAAGGCTATGGAACCAGGGTTGAGGATTGCAATTACTATGCGCCACCTAGCAACCGGTGACAAGTACGCCAGTATGAAGTTTGGCTTCAGAGTTCCTCATAACACCATGTCTGTCCTAGTACGAGAAGTCTGCCAGGCCATCGTAGATGAGTACAAGGAGAAAGTCATCAGCTGTCCAATCTTCGCTGAAGAAGGGTGTGCCGTTGCTGAAATGTTTGCACGTAGTTGGAACGTCCTTCATGCCTGTGGAGCCCTTGATGGAAAACATGTTGCCTGCAGAAAGCCAGCGAACATTGGAAGCCTTTATCACAACTATAAAGGCTTCTTTTCCATTGTTTTAATGGGCCTCGTTGATGCAGACTATAAGTTCCTCTGGATAGATGTTGGAGGGCACGGACACATGTCAGATTCACAGATCTCCAATGATTTAGAGCTGAAGGAGTGCTTAGTATATGGAACTATTTGTCTTCCTCCAGCAGACCCCCTACCAAAAGACGACAGGGACATGCCATATTTATTCCTGGCTGATGATGCATTCGCGATGCGGACCAACATGATGAAGTCTTACTCGATGCGCAAGATTACCAAAGGGCAAAGGATCTACAACTACAGGATATCTAGAAGGCGTCGCGTTGTGGAGAATGCCTTTGGCATCCTTGCCCAACGTTGGCAGATTCTCTTGACCTATATATACACGCCGCGCACGCGCAGTGAGCGAGTTGGAAACGTATTGACAGCGTAGTAACATACACCCGTCAGACTGGACGGCGACCATCCGCGACCGTACGGCGACCAGAAAATATACAAGGTCGCCGGCACGTTAACACAACGCGAGAAAAATACCCAACAAATTACAAAATTGAAAAAAAAGCCGCGACCTCTGCGATCATACCGCGTTCTCACGGCGCGCCCGCCACGACCTCTCCGCGCTTATGGCGTTTCTATTGAGATCTATGGGCTTGGCAACGGCGATTACCGGCGTTCCCGCGACGCTCTCACCACGCTCCATGGGTTCTTACCACGCGTCTTCTACGTGTATCGCGACTGCACGGCGACCTCACGGCGTTTCTACCACGTTTTCACGGCGACTATATAAGCTGGTCAGATTTTCGGAAATTTCAACTGTATAGTTGTGCGTTTGCTCAGTAGAAACACGATAGTTGTAGAGTAGAAACACGATGCCGAAGAAACAAGCTACCATAGGCCGTAGCCGTGGCCGTCCCCGTCCCCCCTAAAAAACTTCTCGAAAAACATCAACTTATTTTTCAGTATTTTTTCTGCTTAAAAATCTATATTATTTTTT